GGAAGTACAGTGAAAGTACGAACTCCAGGAGGCTCGCTTTTCTCCCTAGCTTCATAGGGGCCTCTAGTTCAATTCAAATCCTCTTTCATTTTTTAAAATTTCTCTTCATGAAAAAATAAATCTTATCTTTCTTCGAAATTCTATTGATTTGTGTTTTTAAACTATATAATATTCCCCTTCACATAAATCTGCGCTACCAAAATATCAACATTTTTTCACACATAGGTAACGAGCCACTACTATAATACGATTAGCGTAACCATCGTTTTTCGGTATGGTGGTTGTTACGGCCACGATTGTCGATTGTGTTTAGGAGTGGGAGAAATTTGGCAGAAAATAGCTTCATACAAGTTTACAGTCAGCGCAAGAAAACACACTACAGTACACATTTCCTGGAAAAATTTTTGTTGTCGAACCTGTCGAAAACCCTTCCCGGAGCGCGGAGACCCTAAACTCCTAACCTGAAAACATTTTTTAGTTTCGTACACGTAGCCTCCTGATGCCTATGCAACTCACAACAGCCGGAGTCGTTCTACCATCCGTCGTACCCTCGCTCCAATTGTGTAAATGGAATACGATTCACCCATATATGTATATATATAGAACACAATAGAATTCATTGACTGATATGAAGAAAAAGAGAGAAAATACAGGTAAGAACTAAAGAAATGTAGAATGCACTTGAATGTCCTGGAGAAAATGGTGCTATTCTTACATAACGACAGAACCGAAAAGAAGAAAAATAATTAAACAAAAATTATCTATGACATTACCATTGAGATTCTAATATAGCGCTTAAATCAACCGCACTTATCATATATGTTTTTCTACTGATCGTATGGATACTAATTATGATACTGGTCAAATGTAGAGTTTCTTAGATTGCCATCCCTTTAAGAAGACTTCATCACAATGGTGATACAACTATCGGAAGTCGTTGGCATTATTTTTTTTTATAATGCACAACTTTTATTTTTCTTTTTGATTTGTCTACAAATGTATCTAATATACAATAGAAAAAATGACAAGATAGCACATCGAACAAAATTCGAATTTTTCTTCTAGCATCTGTTTTTACATCACCGGTTATAAGTATTTAATTCGTTTATGTATTTCAACAACTTGATACTATACGCGAAACGAAAAGGATAATTTACTCATATACGTTGAAAACATACTAGATCTTTCAATGCAATTTTTATTGTCGGATAGTTGCTTTATAATTATGTTCCAGTCGACTGGAATGACTATTGAAAGTATAGTCACTCATAAGATAAACGATAGATAAAGTATTTTATAAGATTTTCAAATTCGAATTCATTGTTAAAGTAGTCGAATACATTGACTTGTCTATTAATGATGATCAATATCTCAAATCTAGCCACAATTCGACAAATATTAATTCCAAATAATTTTTTTTTAAAAAAAAGAATAATTATCAGTACACTTTTAACTTTGACATGGCCATATCTCCCTTCGAACAGAACTGTTTCTCGTCAAATTTGTAGTGATAGTAGTCTGCATTAAAACGCAGTTTTTGTGAATGTTCGATATTGGAATAATGTTCCCTTATGAAGATATGATTACATTACTTAAATGTATTGTTTATGAAAAAGTTAAAATTTCGATAAAAAAGATAGAGGTCTTCACTTTGTTCGTATTTCTAAAATGTTTCGACAAATTGCAAAAAATATTCAAACAAGACTAAAAGTATAGAGCATTTGACGCTCTATTGTACTGCATTTAGTAAAATTTTTTTTATAGTATGAAATCTAAACATTCGTGATTATTTGAGAATCATACGAGACAAAGTTTTTTTTATTCTTTCACTAATTTCATACACACGTATTTCCGTTATAACTCTTTTTAATAAACCATACGAAACTGAAAATTCTATCGTAAATGTATCTCACTTTCTTCTATTAGCAGCCGAAATTTCATTGAATTTCGACAGCTTTTTCAGAATTGGAGATATCGTTTCCAAAAATTGTAGAAAGGAGTGTCTCGCGTCTTTCTACAGTTCCTGACAATGCTAATTCGAATATCTACACATTTAAAATCTTTTATTTAGTAATAGATAAATCTACTAATTTGAATGGATATGATAAGCCCTCTGTTTATTTTTCAGATGTTTTATTTTCTCTTTAGTTATTTAATTTTCCAACGTACATTATTTGACTTTCGGACATCTGAAAGTCTTTTCATTGGGGTTTTTCTCGACTATTTCTAATCAAAACATTGATTCGAAAAATAAAATTATTTTTAACAATGAGTAATTTCTATATCCTTTTCATTAAAAAAAAGCTGTTTGAAAAATAATAAATTACTTTGACTGGCAACCCTTATCAAAGGTTCCTCTTCAGATTCAAATATTGTACAAACATCTTCATCTAAGATCATTGTAAGTTTGTTCAATTGGCCTTGAATAAGAAAACACAAATTATTGATTAATAATTCAGATAAATAAAATCGATCAAGAACAAGTGATTTAAGATTAGGATAATTATAAATACAACGATTCTTATTAATAAATTCATAACTATTTGGGCATCTTCCATCTAAATGAATATGTCGAATAGAATTAATGAGAGACGAACAATTAGAAATTAATGGAAATAATTTTGATAAAAATATTTTATAAGATAAACTTGTTTTATTAATAATAATTCCACAATTATTTATTGAAAAATTTAAACAAATAAGTGAATTAAATCGTTTATTTAATGACCAAAATGATGTTAATATATCGTTCCATAATAAATGAGAAAATATATTAAAAAATATTTCGTTTGGTAATATTTCCAATTTACTAATCATTTTATCTGAAAAATAAATTCAAATTATTTCAACATCGAAATTTTTTCTTTTCAAATTTTGTTGTTTAAACTTTTTTTATTGCGAAAATGCCATCTATATAAAGATTAACTAATAAACAATTATCTTTTTTATTTCATTCCATTTTTATTTACTAAAATGTTAATACTCAACTATTCGTTATTTTATTTTACAATTTCTTATGTTATTTCTGCTAAAAAATAAAAGGAAAGAGAAGAACAAACTTCATCGACGCTTTTTAAATTCACCACTATTACAAATGAAAAGAGATCAATGTTAAAAAATATAAATGAATGAGTATTTACAATGCTACTATATGAAATATTTCCACATTTATTAGACTTGGAAATAGTACACTTACCAATCAAGCATTTTTTACTAAAACATTATAATCATATGAAGTTGCTTCCAAATGCAAAAAAAAGTTAACTTTACTTTTTCTTTATTCTTATTTAAGAAATAACCTTATAATGAAAAAAAATATTGTTGAATAAATATTGTTTGAATATATGAATGATTGAACCTTTTTATTCGAATGGATGGAAAAAGGCAGAAAGGAAAAATATCGAAAACAAGAATATGAGACGAAGATGAACATGTAAGGTTGAAGGTGAGAGTGTGGAAGATTTGTACTTCAAAATACTCTCGTTTTCAGCACTGCTATACATCTATTTTTGTATTATTTTTGTATTTGATATTTTTATTTTCGACATTTTTCCTTTCGATATTTTCCTTTCTGCCTTTTTTCATCATACCCTTTATTCTGGTTGAACTTCTATAAACGAGTATGCGTCTCCTCATTGAATGTTCAATTTTTATGTGATATAGAAGAAGAATTTATTTTTATTTTTCCTTTTCTCTTCACAAATCGACGATCAACTTGTCTAAAATGTTCATACTCGACGGTTGCAATAAAGCGTTTAGCGAACATTTTTTTGGGTGTGGGTGTGGGTGTGTGGGTGTGGGTGTGGGTGGGTGTGGGTGGGTGTGGGTGTGGGTGTGGGTGTGGGTGCGGGTACGGGTGTGGGTGTGGGTGTGGGTGTGGGTGTAGGTGTGGGTGTGGGTGTGGGTGTGGGTGTGGGTGTGGGTATCTTCTCTTTACTACACCCACACCCACACCCAATAAAAATATCCTTCGATTATACTATTATTTATTCTTCCTCATTAACATTTACATTACTTGTATGAATAAATCACCGATCTACCGAAAAAATGACTTTTCTTTTGAAACTTTAGCTAATGATACAAATCTTCAGCTCAATTACTTAATATTGCCATCAAATATTTATTTAAAATATATTCAAAACCTTTTTCGAATGTGCCTCGAATATAATGTGTACAGTTTTGAAACAATCATATGTATTCCTTGTGCGAATTGTGATTAATCGCATACAAGATTATTCTTTCTAATCTAACTAAAAAAGAGTACTTAATTTTATGTCTAATAGATTATTGGTGTATGAGTAACGAATTCTAAATGACTTCATTTTTCGTTAGACAATACATACATGCAATTGTCCGATATATTCTTATCAAGATATTTCTATCAACAGTTTATTCTAATAATAATAATGTTTAATCGAAAAGAAGTACATTTGAAAAGTGAATCTGATTAATTGAGTTCTATTTCAAGTTTTTCCAACAATCGTTCGATTTTGAATTTCACCTTCTATAGATTACAGTGCCAACGAGGAAGACATTTTCTCTAGATATCTAATGCTTGTTAATAGTAATAAAGTGCCAACATAGATTTATGAAGTTTTTCGTAAATCTCACCTATTTTCGACAAATTATGGCCAATGTTCTCATGATTTGGTGGTAGAACTTTGAAACGTATTAAGAAACAATTCTGTTCATACATAAAAGAGAGTTCATGTTCGTCTCTGCTTCTTTGTACTTGTAACAACCAATTAAGTACATGAGCGATAGAGAGAAGTGTTGGAGATAGACTGACTCCTTTAATTAGGAAACATCTTTCCAAATATTCAATAGGGAGATCGAACTGGGACTTTCTATCGAAGTTAGCAGAGATCCAGTATAGACTTTAGAAACATATGACATTAGAAGGAATTTTTTTTGTACATTCACGTTACCCCACTTCTTATGGTTATTTATTACATGATTCTATTTTACAGAAAATCAACGCAAAGATATTGAACATATATACTACACAGGCCTTCGCTTAATACATAATCTTTGGGGGGTGGAACGACTACACTACATTAGTTCTAGCAAAAGACAGGCCTCTTCTCGACTACGTGTATGACTATTGGAAGAAATTTATAAAACATCTTAGTATATCTTCGGAAGCAAGTGGGTATAGAGAAACACGGGAGGTATATCTGATATCTACGTCATCATATCGAAACTTCTATAAATCTATTGGTTTAAGAAAAAATAATTTTTTGATAAATCGTTTTTTCATTCTTTTGTATACATCAAGAATAGAGAGATTATTTTAAAAGATTATTCTCTAATATTGAAAGATTCATTCACAAATATGTATATCAACCTTGAGGCTCTATTTTCATTCTGAAAATTTGTGAATTGCAAAGCCTCTTTGTTCCAAAAACATAATCAATTATATCCTATGGTAAATTTTCTCTTTCTTTTTTTCTTTTTCTTTTATCATCTTAAGTAACTCAACGCCTTTTTTTCTGTATTGTATCGTTACATCCTAAACGGAGAGATACATCACATAAAAACGAATTGAAAAATATTTCTTATATTTCATGTGATGAATTTTACTTTTTTTTGTTATATTTGATAATTGATAACCCTAACGGGATCAATAAAATTGTTATGTTAGAAAAAAAAAAGAATTCTATGAATTTCTAGATTGCGATGTGTTTTCTACCCAAATTGAAATTATTTATTAGCAATAGTTCAAATTAACCGAGGAGAAAACAATTTGAGAATATATTTTACTAATAAAAATTTATCTCATAACCAAGGTCCATTCAAGTTCTGTGACTAGGGCAGGCAGCTCAAACGCATAAACTGTATTGTGGAGTCCATTGCAATCGACTCAATTCTGTCAATTTTAACAAACTTTAAAAATAGTCACTTGTTTTGCTATAATACACTATGATACATCACTTTCAGATGAAAAACTGGCGGCAAACCGCCGATATAGTGCACATTATATCAATCGGTGTATCGATAGTAGCTTCTCGATAGTTATTACATGGGTTGTCAAACCAGTAGAAAAAAAAATATCTTGACCAAAATTGTTATCTATCTAAATACATAGGGAGAAAAAAAACGGGAGAAAACTGATAATAGTTGATAACAATCAAAATCTGGTACATAGTGATATTTGACGTTGTTACAATGTGACACGTTGATGGACACTCTCCTAAGTATACGACATCGAATTTTTGACCGGTAAGAGATACTCTATATGAAATTGAAAGAGATCTTTATCAAAAATTACTTCTTTGATATATCTGCCTGGTTAATCGCGTGACGCTTTTGGCGCCATTTCATATGTCAGCTGGTTACATTGCACTTTTCTTTAAAAAATCATCACTCGAGTGTTCCATAATTTTTATGTGTATAGAATTGATCCGACTTTTTTCGATATCTCAAGTAATGATATTCATCTTGACTTATTTCACTGGATTTTTCCCTACATGCTAGTTGCCAGCCGTCAAGAGATTTTCTCCAAGACTCTTATGTCTTTTCTCTATGAAATTTCTCTTTGTTGTATTCTGACCGATAAGAGAATACATCATTCATGTATCATAGACAAGAAACTGTTAGAAAAATTAGAGTAGTAGTGTATTATTTTTTCGTTCTGTGACGGTTTGTTTTTCTTTCTCTCATTCATGTAACATTTATCGGTTGTCTCGATAGAGTTTCTTCTTTGATATCCACGACTGAAGAACGATTCAGAATAGAAGAAAAGAAAAAACGAGCGTAGCAGCGAAATTCTAACCGTAATAAGCAATTCAAAACAAGAGAAAGTACCTTTAAACAGATGTAAGCACAATGGAGCTTACCGACGTGAAGATTCATGAATATAAAGAATCAACAAAGTGCAGACACTAGAATATAACTAGTGTTGAGTTTAAACAATCTTGTTAGTCGTGTTCTTATTATTCATCATTTTTTCTTTTCCTTTGACCATGTTAACCATCTTTTGTGTTGTTTCTTCCACGAGACGAGAAAAAAATCGTATTATCCATTCTTCTACTATTTTCCTTTTCTACATTATGTGGTATCGTCTAATGAAAGTTGTACATATTGTAGACTTAGCTGACTATATCAACTAATGTTCCATTACTATTCTATAGACAGTGATTTTTCTTTATCAAATGAGTGGAGAATTTGATTTTCGGGCATTGCTGCTCAAAATACAGGATCTTCTATCCGACAACGATCGACATCGTTTTCATTTTCTTCTTGGTCAAGACATTCCCAGATATTTGCGCGATGATCCTTCACTTAGTGGAACGCTTCGCGTACTGAAATCTCTTTTTGAAAAGGCCATAATCAGCGATCAAGATTGTGATTATCTCATTAAAGCATTCAAGAAAATACATTGTAACGACGCTGCGAAACGACTTCAAGGTTCGTTCCTTCTGTTTCTTATTAAGACTCACATTTAGCGAGCTCTTTATGTTATTGTTTTCAGAATATCAGCTAGCATTGGAACATTTTAGTCAACGCAGTTGCTCACTTCAGGATATTCTTTTATTCGACAACGACGAGGAGGATAAGATGTCCTCAGCTAGTTCGTATCAATAGAAGGCTTTACTTTGTTTACGATCAGAAATTTCTTTTCAGGAATTATGCGTATCTCATCTGATCCAAATTCGACTGTAGATCGTTCGACCTCGTGTACAGATCTAAGTCTCGAAAACAAACCGCCAAGTTCATTATTACTTGTGCATAGCGAAACGGAAGAGCGCATTCATGGATCTCGATGGACTTATCAGATATGCAAACGACAATTGAACATTCGGGAATGGATTCTA